CACTGATTTTAAAAATATTCTGTGGCGTCACAGAAAAACGTAAATATATCTTCAGGAACAAAACTCAAAGAGAGACTGTTAATTTAAAAATTAAACCGTCAATCTACACAACCATACCCGCAAATGTCAGACAACTTTCTACTCTTTTTATGCGATTTTTCTTGAAGTCGATGCATCGCTTTAAGATAATTACAGTTTATTACTACAACCACATAATTCACGGACATTTAAATATTGTTTAACACTAGATTTTGTAAATTGTATTCGATTGAATATTAAAAATGCAGTTATTCAGTTCCCATGACAAGAAAGTGAAAATGACTGAAGTGTGCATCATAACAAAATATTTGGATTATAGCTCATGTTTAGGTTTTGTGCTTACAATTTAATCAGTAATAACAATGTTTTTGATATCCTAGATTTTCCAGTCTCTCTAATATACTAAGTGACATATAAATCCGAACACCCAGTTTAAATGGTTTTATTTTAATAAAATTTTGTATAAGTACTTAATGAAGCATAATAAGTAAATGATAAAAATTTCTAAATGATTGCACTGCTTTAAAGCCCTTTGACCTTTAATAATGTGTGGATGCAGCCTGATGTGCTACGCATTCTCCAACGCGCCTAGACATGCTTCTGATCAGGTGGTCAATGTCCTCCTGTGGTATCTCATTCCAGGCAACCACCAACTCCTCTCGAAGTGCTTCTAGAGTCTGAGGAGGACGTTGCAAATTGAGCAATCTCCTACCCATCATATCCCACACGTGCTCAATTGAGGATCAGTCGGGAGATCTTGGTGGTCATGGTAACAATGTGACATCATTATGTTGAAAGAAGTCTATTGTGACTCTTGCAACATGTGGTCGGGCATTATCTTGTTGGAAAGTTGGATCTGCCAGGGTGTCAAAATAGGGTAAAAGATGGGGTTCTAGAACTTCGTGGATATAACGCTGCGCGTTCATGTTACCTCTGATGAAGATTAAAGGTGACCTGGAACCATAAGCTATAGCGCCCCAAACGATAACTCCAACAGTGTGATGAACATGTCTTTCAACAAAAAACTGTGGATTCCTCCTTTCACCACGTTGCCTTCTAACCCTGGCACGACCATTGTGCATGCCTGAACAAAATCGAGACTCATCACTAAAGACAATACTGTTCCATTCCTGATCCCAGAGTGACCGTTGTCTGCACCACTCAAGGCGATTACGTCGGTGTTCTCGAGTTAAAGGGAGGACCCAGTGTGGCCGGTATGAAAACAAGCCAAAACTTCTCATTCGTCGGTAAACACTTCGCATGCCAATAGGTCTTCCGTGTTCTGCGAACCATTCATTTGCAATGGACCTGGTACTGGAGAAACTGTCCCTTAAGGTCAATAATCTTAGGCGGCGATCTTCACGGTCTGTTGTTCTACGGCGGCATCCAGTGCCCCTTGCTCTTTGCGTACGGCCTTCTCGAAGCCATGCCTGACAACACCTAACCACAGTGTCTACACTTCTTTGCACTCTAACTGCAATTTCCCGAAAAGAAAGTCCAGCTTCCCGAAGTCCCACTATACGGCCCCTATCAAACTCACTAAGTTGACGAAATCGTACAGGTCTCCGTACTCTAGGCATCGTAACCGATCGTAAAGGATGTCAAGAACCAAAATCCGCCAACGTTGATTCTTTACTGCGGCTGAAATATTCATTTTTAGAGCGTTAGTGAATTAAAAAAAAGCAGTATAAAAACCGGAATGTCCAACTGATAAGGCTGAAAATTTTTACACTTGTTATTTACAGTAAGATAAATACATTCACCAACTTTTATTAAAATAAAAGCATTTAAACTGGGTGTTCGGATTTATATGTCACTTAGTATATGTACCGCTATCTTGGGTTGACGGGTAGTCTTCTATTTTGAATTTTTCATTTTGCCAAAAAATATCGGAAATCATACTTTGACCAAAAAGTTACATTATCCACATTAGACCTGGGTCCCCTCACACTTTTGCGATTTGTTTTGAAACACTCTATACATTAACTAATTCAGTATACTAGATAAATGCGTTTTAGAATTTTTGATAGTACCGTTAAATCAGCAGCAGTAATACATAAACCGAATGAAAATAGACAATGAATCATTTAAGGTCATATAAATTAAATATGTTTTAAGTTTTATCAATAATCCGGGCGCTTGGGCTCAAATGAGAGAGCCTTCATTTTCTTCAATTGCTATAATAGAAATGATAGGGTGTAAGGACAAAAAAAAACAGAACTCAAAAACTTCAAAACAGTCTATATAATAAATCAATCTTTTCATCATTCCGTGGAAAATAAAAAGAAAAAATCTGTTTTCATATTTTATTGTTTGATCTACAATTTATCAGTCGAAAGTTGCAACCTACCTATTATGAGTATAGTGGATCACAAAATTCATACAAGCTTAAATCAATATTACAGAGGAATCGCACTCATATAAAAATTCACATTTGTTCTTTGTTAATGCTATTAAATGTATATATACTATTGTTATATCATGAATTTATTTGGCACGTAGAATTATTTATATATTCAAATATCGTTTGTTCATAAATGCATCTATGAATTTTTATTTCTGGTATACAGTGTTTTGCGACTATCGAAATATCGACTGTGGAAAATTACATGGTAAGACTATACTTTAGCGCATATCGCAAATACTCCATTTCTTACTTTAAAATGAAAGATTAGGATGTAAATTTTACGAAAATATCATTTTTTCTTCAAGGAACCCTCTGCTTGCTATTTTATAGAACTTCGAAGTTACATTTTTGGTGGTAATACTCTAGAATAGTATACTGTTTTATATGACGTCTTTTTTTTGCTTTTTGTACAAAACGATGCTCTAAATTATAAGGATATAACATACACTGTATAGTACTGAGGAAAATAGATGTGAAACTGTAAAAAATCGTTGTGTTTTTGCAAAAAAAGGTTCAAAACCAGACGTATTTTACACTTAAGCTTATTAGCTTAAATAACAGATCAAAATACATACTTAAATGATGGTATTTACTTGGTAAACTGTGTAGAGGTGTTGTTTTGTGATTTTTAAATGTCTTCTTGAAGTTCCTTAACCATTTTTTCCGCGTATTTTCAATGAGATCAAAGTTTTTGCGTCGATTTGGACCACCTTGCCAGGTCCACCCAACATATCATCGTCCAACATTATAGTTAAATCAAGATCAACGATCATTTCATCAAATCATCAAAAAAACTTGCAATGTTCTTTGTTATGTTTTCATTATTTAGTGATTTGCAACAGCTACTTTTTCAGTTATTTCTCATATATATCACATTCAATTAGGTACATTTTGTAACATCAGCTTCACTTTAAATAATTATTCAAGTCCATACATACAAAAAGTAAATAGATTATAGCTACAATATAGGAAAAAAATAACCGAAGTACTTTTGTGAAGGACATAAGGCATCCTTCAAAAAAGTCTGTTTAGCTAACGCTATCGTAGGGCACAAGGTGGATTTAGTGCAGTAAAACCTGTCGGCCACATCTCCAAATCGCATTTTCAAGACAATCCTGTGCTGATTGCACATTTTTGCGCTAGAATATAAGTAAGAATTTGATAAACAATATTAAGGTATATTACTATCCATGATTTGGCAACATCGCAACTAGATGGAGAGAATATGACAGTGACGGTGGTGTAGTGATGGGAGTAATTATCTGAAATAAAAGAAATGACTACTTAACAATGAACTATCTTCATCATTAAAATAATGCAAAAATGCATTATTGCGATAATCAGTATCATAGTAACTTACAGTGTATATTATATTCATATAATTTTGAACAATCTTTTGTATAAACAAGAAGAAAACAGCTTATAAAGCTGTATTCTATACCCAAAATGCAACTCTGAAGTTCTATAAAATAGCAAGCAGAGGGTTCCTTAAAGAACAAATGATATTTTCGTGCAAGTTACATCCTAGTCATTCATTTTAAAATAAGAAATAAATATTTGCGATAGCCAATTACATTCTCCATTCTTCACATTACTAGGTTCATGTTGCTTTTTAAGGGATCAGTTACCAAAACCTTAAAGCGCAGTTTCCTCAACGCATACAGATGATAAACACGATCACTATTATTCCTCAGTAAAAATCTTTAATAAATGATTCTCGACGCTATACGCAAGACACTGCTTTTACCCAATACAGCTTCCCACCAAAAAATCTTCCTCCTCTTAAACTGCTCGTTTCGTCACCAAATGCCAGGATGTCAACATCCTTATACTATTAGATGTCCACTGTCACGTATAACTCTCAAATATTTGACTTGCCATTTCATCACTGTTCTTAGAATCCTCTCCAGATTATCGGACACTATGAACTTAAAAACACCATCTTCAAATCATGCAGATGGAATTCATGATGTAACAGAATCCATTGACACCTCTCAAGGTGAGTTTCGCTCTGGTTCAGTCATCAGTGGACTCGCAGAAATCACCAAATATCATGATATTGACACCACCAATTCCTAAGCACGATCATGTAAGTTGGGTACTGAAATTCTCTCTTGAAATATCTGGTTACCGTGTATCATTCATCACCATGATCTCAGGTAGAACTATCTCCAAAGCACACAGCATAAAAGCATCCATGCATATAATGTTGGGCTTCAAATCTGTTCCTGACCATGTGACACAAAAAACTACTTAAATCATGTCCTGGAAACCGGCACGTGACATATCACTGTCACTTATTTTCACTTAAAACAATTCTCTATAGAAGAACATTCTGTCATAGTCATTTCTTCACTGTTTGTCGATTGACCTTGGGCTTCACCAAACACGATAATCTTCAGCATAACGATCTCCAAAGCACATACTATGAACAGACCTATAAAAAAGGTCACTGGCCAGTTGTGAGACAATGTCCCGAAAGTATTCCTAGACGCCGCGGTCCAATATCACCGCTTTGGGTGCCGGTATGCCATTCACTGTCACTATTTTTCACTTAATACAATCCTCTATCGAAGAACCTGTCTGCTATAGACCTCTCCTCACTATTTTCAGATTGGTCTTGAGTTTCACCAAACATCATGATCTTCAGCATAACGACCTCCAAAGCACACACCATAAACAGCGCCATAAACACGTCCATATGAGTCATGTTGGGCGGCAAGTCTGTCCCTGGTGGATAGTCACTGGCCAGTTGTGAGACAAAAAACATGTTTTATTATGTCCTGGAAGTCTTCTTGGTAGTAATGTCACGAGATACCGCTTGTGATACCGGTCACAGAGATACTGCGAGCATCGAAAGTAAAAGTGGAACGCGTATTATACAACTTAAGCACTTTCCAGCTGAATTCAGGACGACTCTCGACTAGGTCACAGCGATGTTGGATAACTCTTATGTAATAAATTGTTTGTTGAAGTGCAGTACCGTTATAATGTGTATTTTCGACAATCGCAGTCAAGCTGGTGTTTCCACCGTGTTTTTTCTTAGTTCTTTGATGTATGATGCACCATTCCTGGTGGTATAACTTTCGCGTCAAGGTCGTTCAATCGGTAGTGTTTTGTTTTCAATAATAATATTTATATGTTTATTGAAGATATTTTTGAACTTTTTGTGGGCTGGAGCTTGTCTATGTTGCAGTGGTTCTGGAAAAGACAAGACTGATGTTAGCTAGTTTCAAAATCACTGGAGTTGCTTGAAAATAAAAATCTATTTGGAATATAAATAAGCTCTATCTAAGTTAACATTGGGAAAATAAATTTGTATTTTACTTATAATCTCGAAAAATTTTATTTCTTCGGATTTGACATAATATTCACATCACAAAAAACCATGTCACTCGTCGGTCGATCTTGTCCTCTCTATAACTGATAGTACTTCTTGAATTTTGATAAAAATTTTACTCGAGACTTCAGCGATTACGAGGACAAACAAGTGAGTTTTGAAAATATACTAAGTGACATATAAATTCGAACACCCAGTTTGGAGTTATGGTTTGGGGTGCTATAGCTTATGGTTCCAGGTCACCTTTAATCTTCATCAGAGGTAACATGAACGCGCAGCGTTATATCCACGAAGTTCTAGAACCCCATCTTTTACCCTATCTTGACACCCTGGCAGATCCAACTTTCCAACAAGATAATGCCCGACCACATGTTGCAAGAGTCACAATAGACTTTTTTCAACATAATGATGTCACATTGTTACCATGGCCACCAAGATCTCCCGACTTATCCCCAATTGAGCACGTGTGGGATATGATGGGTAGGAGATTGCTCAATTTGCAACGTCCTCCTCAGACTCTAGAAGCACTTCGAGAGGAGTTGGTGGTTGCCTGGAATGAGATACCACAGGAGGACATTGACCACCCGATCAGAAGCATGCCTAGGCGCGTTGGAGAATGCGTAGCACATCAGGGTGCATCCACACATTATTAAAGGTCAAAGGGCTTTAAAGCAGTGCAATCATTTTGAAATTTTTATCATTTACTTATTATGCTTCATTAAGTACTTATACAAAATTTTATTAAAATAAAACCATTTAAACTGGGTGTTCGGATTTATATGTCACTTAGTATAGATATGTGCAGTGTAAAAGTTATGAACGAGAAACGAATAATTTCCAAACGTGTCCAAGGTTCACATTTCGAGTTTCTAGTAATTCTTGAGTGTAGATAAATATGTTTTTCAGGTAGGATCACAGTTTTGAACCTTCGAATCACTAAAGGGCACAGTAAAAAGATCCATTGTAAAACAGTCCCAAGTGTGTAATTTTAAATAATTTTATATCAATGAGTGCGAGATCAATTTACTTGGCTTCTTTTTTTATATTTTATGGCTTTGGTGGAATTTCAAAACCTTTTTTGGATGGAGTCAGCCCTCTTCTTTTTTTTGTCATTTGTTCGTGACCACTGGATCGAAAATCTACGAGGCTTGTTCATTTAAAACCCATCTTTGGTCAAGAAAAGAATTATTGGCAAATATATCTCCAAATAATAACCACTACAATAAAGGTACATATCCTATTGTTTCACCTGCGTAAAGAAGTATTGTGGCTGCTCCTTAAACAATTCTTTATCGACACTTTGTACTTCTTCGTCCGACTTTTTAACGCCTTTTTCGGTGGCCCAAAGATGTGAAAATCGGAAGGCCATAAATCGGGACTATACGGTGGATGCTCTAATATCCTCCATTTCTTTCGTTGTAGATTTTCTTTCACTACTCTGGCAACATGAGGCCGAGCATGGTCGTGCAGAAGAATGACACCACGTGAGAGCTTCCCTGGACGTTTCCGTCTTATTGCTTGGATGGATTGATATGAACTCTAGGTTCTTTAGACTCTATGTTGACCTTCAAAATTTTAACATGACCTTGTCTGCAGAAGGTTAAACCTTAATTTTCTTTGGTGGCGGAGAATTTCCGTGTTTCGCTGAACAAGCCTCGTATATGAAAGCTACTTCATTCTTGCAAAAGCTATTCCCATAGTTTGATCGAAATCTGAATCAGACAACTCATAAAGCCCGGTTGAAATTTCGTTGTTCCCCACTATGACACGGTAAGAATAAACATTTTTCACCATACTATCGTTAGTCAATAACATTACTATAATATATCGTCATCTAAAGATAGAAGTCCACTATACGTCATAAATTAAAATTACTTCCCATTAAATCTGACGTTGCTCTTTATTAATGGCATGCTTTTTAAACATTCAGAAGGTTTTCGAATTACTAGAAAAAAATAAACGGTATAAAATTCCCAAGTATGGAAAAATATCGAGATGAAATCGGATGATATTAACATTGTCCATATGGTCTAAACAGATAATATGCAAAGTAGAATTGGTTTTAATAAACATTTATTTCAGTGGCATTTTTACAATATTAAAATAGATAACCTGAAGTAACAGTGCCTAACTATGAACAGATGTTTAATATAGATTTCATGTTAGATTCATACGACAGGGCAGTAAGATTCTACCTATTCGTAAGCTTTATATTAATGAGACCTAAAAAGCCAAATTGATATAGATTCAAAAGCTACATAATTAATTTCGAAATCCATATAACATTTCACTTTGACGCACCTTTATACCTAAGGATAAGAGGTAACCCCAAGCTTCTATCTCTAACATTCATTCAATGTTTGAGCTGTCGTCACTGACATTGAAATATCAATGAAATGAATTTATTTTACATAAAGCGCATTATAAAGTATTTTACCACTAAAAATAGTTACTATGGGAACACCACAAAAATATGTAAAAACTTCTCCGTGAAATACTGTTTAAAAATCACGTATCAAGTTTTTTTTTCATTTTGCTTCATATCTGTCATAGTTTGATCCGATATATCCATTGTAGATTCCATTTTTTAGGCAAATTCTAACTACGCGCGTATAAAAATAAATTTTGAAAAAAAAATAAAAGCAATTTCTAAGATTATTTTGTTATTAAATTTGCATGACCGTGAAGATTCCCAGGCAGTAATATTTTTGTATACATCTATGGGCTTTATTCAACGAGCAAAGGGTATGACATGAAGTGAGTCCCAAATTTTTTTGGAAAACTAGCAGTAACAACAATTCAAAATCCTTTAATTAAAATCAAGGATTAAGGAATACATATCGACGGAAATGGATGAGTGATATGGTTTTTCATGATAGCGAAATTCTTCGCGATCTTACAATACTGGAAAGTAAATTGAGTGACGCTGATGTTCGTTACGTAGACGTCACAAAGCATTATATTTATTTTACATATTTTGACTTGCTCTCTTATAAAAGAAGAAATGTTATCAACACACTGACCTACCTTACCACAACTCTCGATTTTTTCCTGCTACACCTGGCACACTACATTTATCATATGAGCACTTAATTTGAAAACAGACGGACCAAACGTGCTGAGGAACAATGCTATACTTGCTCAGTAAGTACTTTTATTTACATCGTACCATGGTCGTTGAAATATTCATGTTCAATATTCAAATAAACAAAATGCTAAATTATTTCCGTATATTTATAGACAGTTTTGAGTTACTCATATTCATGTAATATTCCGTTGATTTTAGATTCACGTACGCGCTTGTTCCGGAAGTTGTTGTATCCAGTATACTACTACTTCCGTTCAACTGATTGTACACGCGTTAAGGAATACCTCAGTACCGATTGCTGGGTGGCGGTACAAGTCCGACAACGGGCCACTTTAGGTCTATCACTAACACGTAAAAAAAAGGTGGTAGACAAGGACCAGTCGACCGAGGCGGTACCACCGGCTAGCTTTTCCCAGGGTGTCTTATAAATGTCTGCATATTTCCACACCTAAGCTATGCAGTTGATTATCTTCCAAAACAAAGAAATTAGTGATGATGGATCTCTCGAGCACTAAGAACTCCGGTCGTAAACTCACCCCACTCTCGGAATGTCCGGGTGGAGGGTGGGCTCGAGGGAACAACATCGAAGATAAAATTTGTTTTTCGAACATCTCCGGGATCAACAGCAACATTGATGCTGTTCATCACTACCTGCAATCCAATCGTCCCGCCGTGCTTTTCTTGGCGGAGACAAAAATCTCAGAGTCTGCACCGATTAACCATATCAACTTCCCAAACTACGAGGTGCACTCCAATCTGAGAAAGAACGGGGGAGTTGTGGCTTTTGTCCGCAGCAGTCCTGCTCCAGAGATGTTTCTTTGGAATTAGACCGGAAGGACATTCTGTGGCTTCGCCTCAACTCCAAACCATCACCTAAATTTATTTGCTGCCTTTACCGCTCTCCCTCAGACCATAAGCAAACAAGACCGATGCAGCAGGTCGTGCAGTCGAAGCGTTCGCTCTTACTCAAGGGCTGTCCCAGATGGTGACGAGCCCTACTTTTTTCCTCCGCGTGTCGTCACACCCCAGTAGCCTAATGGCTCCCTTTTTGACCACGCATCCTGCCCTCACAGCACTTCTGTCCTGTCCTCCCTGGCTAACTCAGACCACGGTGTTGTGGAGGTTAGGTTTCGGTCAGAACCCGCTGTGGCAGCAAAAAACTCATACAGGCCGCAAAACTTGGCATTACGGCATGCCGACTGGGAGGGGCTCAGAGACTTCATCTCTAGGTTTCCTTGGAGAGATGTCTGTTTCATTGACGCGGATGCGTCGGCTGTCTGTTCTTCGATAATAGAAATTATCCACGTCGGAATGGAGGAATACATCCCTCACACAGTGAAAA